GGGAATTTTGCCTGGCAGAGGACAGTTGCTCATTAAATAGCAGCCAGGAAGCAGAGAAAAACAGAGAGAGAGAAAGAGAGAGAGAGAGAGAGAGAGAGAGAGAGAGAGAGAGAGAGAGAGAGACAGAGACAGAGACACAAAGAGAGAGACAGAGACACAGAGACAGAGAGACAGAGAGACAGAGACAGACAAACAGACAGAGACAGACAGAGACAGAGGGAGAGGAGAAGTCAGGGGCAAACATATAATTTCCAGGTTTTGCCCCCAGTCAGTGCCTATTCCCACCAGACCCTACCTCTGAGCATACGACTTTAGGGAAACATTTTAAACTGAAACCACAACACCATCTTTCTAGATACAGGAGCCAAGGGAAAGTGCCCCCATTAGGAGACTCTATTTTTTTCCTCTCACTGTTTTCCTGTTTCAGTGGATACAGTTCAAAAAGAAATCCCATTTATCTTCTCAAAGAACCCCCAAAAGGAGGCCCAGGACAGAACCTGAGAAGAATCCAGCAGAGGAGTGGGAATGGGGACTTCTCCCTCCACGTTTGTGTGCGAGTGGACACCATCCCGAGCTCATGGTCAAGTGCCATATGAGGAACATATCCCAGGAGCATAGCGATACTGCAATTGCCCAGACTGAAGTAGGCACTACTGTCTTCTCGACTTTACAGATGGAGAAAAGAACTCATGGAAAGGCTGAAAAATTTACTGAAGATGACACATAACACAAGAGTGGGACTCGGAATTTGAACCCTGGTCTGGCTCCAGAATCTGAGCTCCTAACTGCCAGTGTCCTGACTCTTATCCCTTACCCTCTGAGGGTCTCTGATCAGGGGAATTTGCTAAAAGCCATAGAGCGGGTTGTGCTGAGGGATGAGACTGGAGGACAGTGGCAGGGACATTGTTGCTAGGCAGCCTGCTAGGCCTCTGGGCCTGTCAAGAGGCTAGAGCTTCCTCCCTGCTTTGGCTCCTCCGTACTTAGCTATGGCCAACGCCACTCGTAACTTCTTATGGTCCAGCTTGCTGCTCCCTGAATCACTGCCATTCCTAGTCACAGGGGGCAAGCAGCGTGGCTTAATTCTGAGCACAAGATAGGGGTCAGAAAAGGAGCTTCCAGGTAAGTTGAAGGCCAATCTCACTCCCTGAGATGGTCCAGCCACAGGACAGTGGGCCCCAGCCGAGAAGTTCTCAGTCAAGCATTTGCTCACCATTTCTCAGCTCCAACTCAGTGTGACCTGGGCATGCACACGCGAGCCTGAGCTGCCAGGGCATAGACTGTCCTTTGCTTGTTTCTCTTCACCTTCCTCAGTGGTGTTTGCTTGGTCATTAGTTCTGTCCAGGAATCAACAAACAAAGCATCGCTGCTGGTAAAGTCACAATTTGCCCCTTGGACATCTTGGGAAGCCCAAGAGGCTGCACATAATCACATTACCTTCCATGCCTGAATATTTCTTTGGCAAGTTGTCTGGTTTAACTGCGACTCATTAGAGGTGAAAAGCAATTTTCATAACTGATTCTAAAAGGCCAAAAACTGAGATCATTGTGACCAGCAAAGAGCATTAGATGCTTCCCCCAAACCCAAGAAAGGCATCAGACACTCAGGTCACAGGTCCATCTGCCTCCCAAGCCCACCAGCCCCCTTGTGCTGGCATGATTCTTGTCTCCTCCCATGGTCTTGTCTCCTCCCATGGTGGCCTCTCTTGGTACCATCCTCCTCTTGAGTGATGCACTAGAGAGACCATCTCTTCCCACCACACCAACTCACTCAGAGCAAAGACCATCCAGGCACTTTTTCAAACACTGAGTTGTACCACTTTCAATACACATTCTTGTTAGATGCATTTTATGGTCCAGATTCTCAGCTTCTATAATTTACATGCGTGGCAGCCAGTATCATGGTAGACATTATTCCCTAACAACTTAATATCATTAGGAAACATGCTGTTTGTACTTTGGCTTTATTTTTCTTAGGTTTGGTGTTTGCTTGTGGTTGTGTTTTCTGTTTTGTGTCACGGGAAGAACTAAGCAGGAGAATTCAAGAAATAGCTTCCACCTTAGCTGCATCTTGAAAAACTTCTCAAATACCACTTTGCAGAGTTAAAAGTGCTAGGCTGAGTCTTCACCCCAACCACACATGAAAAGGTACTGAAAACTCCATAGCAGCTCTTTTGGAAAACTAAAAGCACTCTAACATTTTGTCCCAGCATTTCCAGAAATGTGGCACCAATGCCAAGGTCACTGAGGAGTGCTGAGAAAGTATCAAGACCACTTTCTTCTCATGTGTGCAAATTAGAGTAGAACCCAGAGGTCCCGTTGATGTCTTTCCAGGGGAAACAACACACAAACAGAGGAGCCCAACGACACACAGAGCTGTGTGAAGGTCTTCTGCTTAATGTAGGAAAAAGTTGTGCCTTAAAAAAAAGTGTCCCCTTTTCAGACACCAGCAGCTACTTGTCTGCCCTTCCCCTAGCTTGGGTTCTCAGGTCTGGCTGCTTCCCTGAGTCTATCAGATGGAGCCCTGGAGGAGGGAGCAATGCTCCCCATTATTATTTCATTCTTCTGGATGAACAGAATGGCTAGTTTGTCTGGGCACCCCATTCACACTTAACCCCCATCCCTACTTACTCAACCTTTGAGAAGATATTTTGCCCCTAATTTTATAGACCTGAGGCTCTGAGTGACCACACTAGGAATCTTTCAACTACAATGATCAGCAATAAGAATGGAGATGTCCTTTAACTTTGATTTCCAGTCGCACTCCCCAGACACAAGTGCGTATACTTCTATCACGTACACACTTGTATATATGTTTAATCACAAAATAAACTGGTTTGCTTTCCTTCGAAAGGCAGAAATCTTTCTTGGTTCATCTGACCATGTCCTTTACTTTCATGTCGCATCCTTTGAGGCCATAACTGAGTCATGAAGGACGCAATGAATTCAAGTGAAAAAAGAAGTCATTCACATGTTGGGGCTCAGGACATGCCACCATAAAATATGACTATCAGAGACCAGAGTATGCAACCCCAAAATATTTCTCTTTGGCTTAAAGGTTATCTGTGCCTATTTTATTGATAAACTGTGCCCCTGCAGTAAATCTGAAAACAAAATTTGCTTGGGTAAGAAAAATTTACATCTATAAAGAAAATTTCCATTTGTAAGGATGAGTTCCTCTCTGCACCAGCAAGAGAAGGGTGACTATATCACTAGAGACTCCCAAACTTTGGACAGCATCCGCATACATCTGTATAAAACCTAACCATTATTTTATGATGATTTTCCTTGTCATCTCCTCTTATCTGGGTCTCTTACTACATCCTTCTTTCTGTTTCAGAGAAATGAAGTATCAAGGCTCAGAGCTTAGACAACTCTTTGAGATCTACTCTGGAGATTAACTCAGTTTTCTTTGTACTAGATTCTCAGCCAGCTGCTCACCTCTTGAAAGCCAGAGGATGAGACTTGGTGGAAAGAAATTAGGTTTATTCAAGGACTAGCATCCTGGAAAATTGGAAGGGGAAGTACTGTCCCCCAAAAACATGTTGGGGAAACTCACATGTGCCAAGAGCTGTTTTATGTGCCTGAGAGGGAACTTAAGAGAGGGGAATGAAGCCCAGGGGAAATGGACACAAAGACTATGCTGGCCAAGGCCCTCGGCCTTCAGGGCATTTGTCTCTGTTTCTTCTCTGGCCGGAACATCACAGTGCATTCAGCCTCCTGGGGCCAGATCCTGTCACTCTTTAGATGGAAATAACAAGGCAGCACAGAGGAAAGATCGGTAGAAAAAAGACAAGGGACATCGCAATTAAAATTCTATTTTTAAGAAGACTGTAACTTTCAGGCCACAGTCAAAGTTGCCTAACTCTACCTGTGTTGACTGACAAACCCTTGGTTAATTTTTGCTTCTTTTCTTTAGACCCATCACCCCCAATACTTTTTAATCATTCTGTGAGTCTTTAAATTTGCTTAGTTGAGAAAATAGCGAGAAAGAATGTGAACTTCAAATAAAGAAATAGACTGAGAGAACTAAAAAAAAAAAAAAAAAAGCTTAAATTATCCATCTTGGTTTTTTTTTTTTTTTTTTTTTTTTAATGGCTATAAAACAGGCCGTTACCTTTCAGAGTTGCTACTTTTCAGCAGGTTTCCAACCACTCAAGAGAAACATAACAGTTCCCAATTCCGGGAAACAATGAATTTCATTTCTGTAGATGTCCACACTCTACTCCTGAGTGTGTACTTCCCTAAATAACTCTTTTCCATTCCTATTGTACTGACTAGTCCTGAAAATTCTTTTTCTGTAACAAAAGTTGCAAACCTGCAGCAACTTCTGTGAATAGCATGGGTTCAGTTTCTCTGCCTCTGATTTGAGAAACTCCTTGAATACTCCCCGAAGACAATATTACTTTCTGCAAATTGAACTCACAGCAATTTGTATGCTTGGAGTTACTCAATGCACATAACTAAAGAATAAAAAGTGACATTACACATTCTAATACTATCTGAATGTTACCAGACATTCTAGGTTCTGTAAATAAAAAAAAAAAGAGTTCATTTTGCAGTGAACATCTTACTTGTTTAGACAGCTTCTCTTTAGAATTTAGAATACTATACAAAAGGAAGGGAAGTAACCTTGCAAAGACCCGCTGGCAGAGGAATGGCACCATTACATTCTGGGTGATGTCTCACATACATGGGAAGTATATGTATTTGTAAGCTTCTATTTACTTTTATTTTTTATTTTAAAAAGAAAACAGAAAAAAGAATGGAAATCATACAGAATTTCAAAAAACAGGAAATTAACACTAGTTAATATATTGCATATTGTTATCTTAAAAGAAGTTTAGGTTACAAGATCTAGGCACAAAATAGACAATGACAGCACAAACTGTTCTTTTTGATGAACTAACAGAAATTGGTAGTGTGGTTATCTATCTTGCAGACATATACATACATGCATTTATAGATGTGTACCTACATACATATGATCTTTTCCTTTCTTCCTTTTCTCCTTTCCCCCATCCCAGTTGTTCTTTCCTTTTGAGCACATTATTTCCCTTTCATTATCATAATACCTATTTTATAGTTTGGATCTTACTACTCTTTCAGCCTTTTGTTTTTATTATTATTTTTACACTAGGGAGACTCTACTGCTGGTGAGAGTGCAGACAGGTGTGACCACTGTGGAAATCAGTGTAGAGATTCCTTAAAAAACTAGGATTGGAAATCCCATTCAATCCAGCTATTTCTCTTCTGAGTATTTTCCCAGAAAAATTGGAAATGTCATGCCACAGTGATATATATGCCATGTTTATAGCAGCACAATTTGTAATAGCTAAATCTTAGAAACAACTCAAACGCCTGTCAACTGCAGAATGGATGAAAAAGATGTGGTATTTTTATACAACGGAATATTACTCAGCTATAAAAAGGATAATCTTGAGGTTTTTATAGGCAAATGGAGGCAACTTGAGATCATACTTATAAGTACTTTTCTCTTATTAATCTGCTTCTTGTCACAGAAAGTCCCAACTGAGAACTCATGAAAGATGGAGGAAAGGTATCTGTCTCTCCTTGCACACATCTCTCATCCCCATGGCAGAAATCAAGGAACAAGAAAAAGAAATAATGACACTGGATTCTGACCTATTGGGAAACCTTGTTCAGAAGCTTCAAGAAGCCTTTCAAGCCCCAGAATCACTCATTTCCCAAAGAATGTTGGTTGAGTCATGTTCCAAATAAACTCTGTTCCTTGAATATCCATATTTCATAATCTCAACTCATGGCGGCATTTGACCATCTTCTCCAGATACCCAGAATAATCACAGAAATTTGGTAAGAAGTAACAGCATTTCCTAGCATGTCTAGTATTCCTCATGATGTTGTTCATGAGAATTAAATGTGATATGACAGAAGGAAAATTCTCTTTTAGGAAATTAATAAAAAATAATATTGTTCGAGTTACTGTTATAGATAACAAGCTGTCCCAAAACTATGGTTTAAAATGACAATGATCTTCTAGTTTGCTCATGAGTCTGCAGTGCACACAGAGTCTGTGTGGTTGGTTCATTTCCCTGCACTCAGGATCAGCAAATGAACTTAACTGGAATGTGGCTCAACTTCCACATGGTGCATGCACAGTGCTGGCTAGTTAGCACTGTCCATCAGCTCCTCTTTAAATGGACTTCTCTGCGGGGCTGCTTCGGCTTCCAAACAGCTTGATGGCTGAGTTAGGTGTGAGCATCTCAAGAGAAACAAACATAAGCTGAGTCATTTCTTATGACCCAGTCCAGAAGTCACAAAGCATCACTTCCCCTATGGGCTCACCTCTTGATAAAGGAGGAGGGATCATTGCATTGGAAGAACACACTGGGTGGGAGACAGGGTAGCAGCTCCTTGTGGTTGAATACAACCTGCACTAGACATTAGCTACAACTGATCCACATTGAGTCCTTGCTGTATTTTAGACTCTAGGCTGAAATATTAAGTATGGGTTCTCATTTTAAATCCCATTGTAAGCCTAGAAGGTAGATATTATCTTTTCTCTATTTTATAGATAAAAGAATTAAGACTTACAGAGAGTAATTATGAACTTGAAAATGGCAGAGGCACAAGGGGCCAATTGCTAGAGCTCACAGTCACTTCATACATGCCTCTCAGAACTCAGGGTCTCCTTCCTTCATTTTTAGTGTATAGATAGCATAGGTACCTTGAGACACTTCTCTACTTAACAGAGGAAAGGTGTTTCCTCTTTAAAAGACTAGTAACATGCCTTCAAAGTTGTTTTTCTTTTATCTCAGCTGAAGCTTTTTGGGGAAACTTACCAGCCAAAATCACCAAGTCACTCTGACTCATTCTTTTTTAGGTGAACTGAAGAAAATGTTGTTTATTATGATGCTGGGTTTCTGCCCATCTTTTCTTTTGAATGTGTGACTGTGACCCCTGAGCTAAGCATGCTCGGGAAGGCACTTGTCACCTTATTTTTTTAATGTGTGTTGATAAATTTTCCCTACATGAATAAACCTAAGTTTCTCCAACAAAAGTCCTTGCTTTCTTTGTTCGAAGAGAGACCAACTGCTTTCAGAATCATCTCTGGCACTCTCCTTACTTGCTGCAAGTAATAAATATCTCTCCATCCTTTTAGGTTCTGGTTGTGCTTATTGGTTTTTCACTTACTGGAATACAAATCCATTTCATTCAGCTACAAAAAGGCTCTGTCCTTTTTATTGGCAACATCCCCAGCTGGGAGGATCAAAGAGAGGTCTAGAAGGTATAATAAATCCCTTTTCCCTTCTCCTGTGCTGTTCCTTTGCTTTGGACTTTCATCAATGGCTGAAAAGTCAGGACGACTCAGACACCAGCAAATAGGCACCACCAAAGCATGGAGGCATACCCTTTCCTTCCAGGCTCCTACCTCTCTCCTACTGTCCTCTAAACCCTGACTGTTCCATCTCCTCTCCCTCTCTCCACTTCCCTCTCTTACCAGGCATTGGCAGGGCAAAGAAGACTGCTGCCAGGAAATCGCTTGCATTCTGGAGCCCACTGCTTCCCAGCAGACCTTCCTCTGAGAGAAGTCTGTGTGCAGCCAGCCACATGGCCCCCAGCACTAGGCAGCCTGGCACCAAGCATCCAATGCTAAAAGTGGATCATTCTGACGGTTGCCTCCCAGAGGTGCTTGAACCTGGGGGAGGGACTTTGCTCAGCCTCTCCTTTCCTCACCCTCAGGTTCTGTCTCAGAATCCCTGCTGCTGTTCATGCCAAAGACTTCAAGGGATGTATGATTTGCAGGACACCAAGGCTACCCCAATCGTGAGATGTCCTCCGAACCTCTTCTCTCCAAAGCATAGAGCACTAGAGGGTGAGGAGAAGGCAAGAAAGAAACCCTGTCACCCAGGTCTCCATTCCTGCTCTGGAGCCCTGCCAAGCATCCACCGGCTGAGAAGCCAACTGAGACACAAGGACAGGTCAGTGGTGTTTGTGCAGAGAGCCCCAAGCTGTGGCAGCTTCTGCCCTTGAGCTCCACACCTCTCTTTGTGAAAATGAAAATCTCTTTCTGCACAAGAGCTCATCAAAAATTGTTCACTCATTACCACATCTCTCAATTCTTCTCCCCATGGGTGAAATATCCTAGTTCCTTAGACTGTCAGTATTGTTACATGATTTGTGGGTACTAGCCTGGTCATCTATCTCTGAATGTGTGGAGTTTTTCTGCCCGCGCCCCTCTCAAAAGACAAATACAGTTATCCTTTGGTATCTGTAGGGATCAGATCCATAACCCTTATGGATACGAAAATTCACAGATGCCCAAGACTTTTATATAAAACAGTGTAGTACTACACATAACCTATGTGCCTCTTCCTGTGTACCTTATCTCCTCTCTACATTTAATACCCAAGGCAATTACAATTCTGTGTGCAGTTATTAGATTGTTTAGGGAATAATGAAAGACAAAAGTCTGTACATGTTCAGTGCAGACACTTTTTTCTGAATATTTCCAATCCGTCGTTTGCAGAAACAGAAGGCTGACTGTATTCAGAGTTAAGCCCATATATTATTCATTCCCTATCGTAGCTTGTACAATAAATATCCTATTTGTAGAGTATTTTTTTGAGTCTTGGTTCTTTTTGGCACATTTTTTTTTTACAGAATTACTTAAAACTGATGTCACATTCACAATTTCTCCCAGACCTTTAACCATTGCTTCCCTTAACACTCAGATCTCTCCCTTAATATTTTATATGCACCTATTAAATACTTCTATTAACACAGTTGATGAAATTGCCTTTCTGGTAGTCGTGTCCCATGAATGACAAATAGCCAGCTTGTAGTTAACAAAATTTTTGAGATTATTTTTCACAATAACTCCTGTTAATGTGTTTAGTAGTCACAAGTGCTGTGTACACAAAGTTTTTGCTTTAACCTAAACACTGGGTTTTACACGTGTCTTTACTCAATAGTAACTTCTCAGCTATCTCTATTTTTGAATCCAAATTTTGCCTTCCAGTACACTTGTTTTCACTCAAACATTGCATGATCAATGTATTTGAAAATCCAGGCCCCTATGCCTTACCTAACTTGCTAAGAAAAAAATATTAACCAAGATGGTGGTGGGGTTTGAATTGTCCCCTGGAGAGATTTGCCCATAAAAAGATAGCCTTGGGCATGGTAGTCTAGGCAGATATGCATTCACCTAAGCATTATACTAACAAGCCACATTTTCAATCTTCAGTACAGGATACACTGAGGACCCTTGCTAAGACCTTGTTTGGGGAAGCACGGCTGGAGGAGCAAGAGAGTTATTATAGGAAGAGCTGAGAAAAGTGGCTGAGACATCAGAATGCAGATAGGAGAGCTAGTAGCAGAGATGTTTAAGAAGATGCAGTCATAACAGGAAGTGAAGTAGAGAGACAGAGACCTAAATTCCCTGTGCAAACCAAGGAGAAAGGACAAAATCCTCCAGAGCAGATTCTGAAGTCAAGCAAAGACTTGCTGCCATGGCAACTTGTCCTATAGAATACAAAAAAAAAAAAAAAAAAAAAAGTGAATCTGAGTGGTCGTAAAAGAGGAATAGGAAGCCAGGGAAGCTACTGGGTAGGTCCAGATGCTAACTAAATAGCTGGTTTCCTGCATAAGCCTCTTTTGTGAGGTGGCTTACTGGGTAGATCCTCTGATGCAGGATCTGACACTGCTGAACTCCAGGTCCACATTTTCCCCCATCTAGCTAAAGGACAACGTCACAGTAAAGGAAAAGCAAGCTTTGATATAACATGTTCCACAGAGCGTGTGCAGGCTCCTAATCATCACAGCTGCCTTCTCTAAGTTCTGCCAATTTGCCTGATTTGTCATCCCTGCTGAGGTTTTCTAGAGGATTGACACTGTGGTTGGTGAATGTGGTTGCTAGAAATAAACTTTATGAAACTCAGGTGACAGTCTTTCCCACAGTTACTTACTACCTCTTCCTCCATAGGCTTTAGCAACAACCAGTAACAGGTTTATAACTGCAATCCAGGTTTTGGGTACTCAGTAATGTAATTTATCTAGTCTTAAACATTGTATGTATTACACGCAATTCAATCTTCTTTCCCACTCTGTTCTGATCTTTGAATGGCATTTTCTTTAAGAACTTTTGTTCTGCAGATTTTCAGCTAAGTAATCCTTGTCCCTGATGAAAGAGCAGAAAAAAAAAAAAAAAAAAAAAAAAAAAAAAAACAAGAAATGAGCAGAGCTGCTCACCCTGTCATCTGCCAACATTACGTCACCTGCTCCTGGCCTTTATTTTCTCATTGTTTTGGATTTCTGTGTAGCCTCTTAAAAGCCCCTGCTTTTGCCCTTAGCGCTTTCCAGGAGCCTGGCTTGTTCTGGGACTTCACCTTTCTGGCATGGTTCCTTTATGTTTATGTCACTCTTTTGTGTTTGTCTTTGACTGTGTGCCTGTATTTTTCCCATGAGAATAATATTATATCAGTCATATTTTATTTAGCCTCCTTTCCTATCCATCCTGACTAAGGCATCTTTCCTCTAGAGTCTATGAGATTTTTTTTACCTCTGTTTGTCTGGCTGGAGTCCTGAGCCTGCATAAGCCTGCTACACTAGCAAAGCAGGTCTAGAGTTGCAGGGAACCAGAGCATGGCTTTAAGAGCCTAACTTCAAAAGAACAGGACAACAACAACAATATAAAGGAAAACAAGAAAAATTAAAGTGCTTACAAATGCAAATTTCCCTGATCACCTCGGGTATCTGTGGAAAATACAGACTCTTGGCCTCACTCCAGACCTCTTAAATTTCTAGGGTAGAAGCCAAAGCACCAAGGTTTGAACAATTTCATCAGCTGTTCCTTGGGTTCATTAGGGCTGGATAATCACTGCACCAGAGGCCAGAGGAAGGACAGCGGTGTGCTCTCTGACTGCTGAGATGAACTGCAGAGTCCAAGCCCACCCATGCCTCTGTGCTCTGTACCACAATGAAATGAAACCTTCCTCATTTCACAGGAATCTCACAGTCTGGGTCAGAAAGGAGCTCCACGTTGCAAGAAGCAAGACATTTACTGAAATATTTAGGGGCAAAGTTCTAGAACTCAGTTATAGAACTCAAATTCTTGGGCTGGAGATTTAGTTCAGCAGTATAAGTGCCTGCCTGGCGAGCACTAGAGTGACATCACAAGTTTGATTCCTGGTACAAAAAAAAAGAACTCAAATTTTTTGTTGACCATAGAATAGTCCTTCTTGCATTATTTATTTTCTTAAATCACCCTCTATAGTAGAAAGAAAACTCAGCACGCACACACACACACACACACACACACACACACACATTCATGCAAGTAGGCACAAGCACACATGCTATAATAGATAGCAAGACTTTTGTAAATATGTTCAGAGCCAAGCAGGTCTGCCTTTAAGTATTATGTCTGCCTATTAACGGTCCTTATTCAACTTGTCTAACTGTTTTAATTTAACATAAGCAACTACATTTGAACTTATTCAACTAAATTGTTTAAATGTATATATATATTATATATATGCAAAATGGAAACAATAATAGTAGCTTTAATATTTGAGAAAACAAAATGTATATTTACATTGCTTTTTCTCTTCCCCTAAGGAAGATAGACATCCAAAAACTAAGCATTTTCCCCCTTTCATGGAGGTTCTTAAGGAAAACATCACATCCCATTTAGTGTAATGCAAAAATGCTGAAGATGGCTGAAAGCGACAGGATAAGAAGGACTGATTCTGTCTTCGATGGAATTCTAATTTAAGGCTTAACTTTAATTAATTATACACTCCCTGTTCACCACCTCTGGCGTTGTTATAACTTCTGAAAATTAGAAACTTCTGTTTTGCAGTGTATCCTGGAATTCTTTTCTTGAAAAAAATGCATTTGCAATATGAAAGCTTTGAAATTTTGTAATTTTTTCATACAAATTCCTTTTTTTTTTTGTATGATATTATAATCTTTGTAACCTCATTGTGGGTTATAGTGAAGGATCCTGGAAGATTATATCCTTAATTATGGTTCTGTTTTTTAAGCACCAGTGTTGACTCACTGGCAGTCAAGGCTTCTGTCTACCCACCTATAATCCATCTCTGAGCTCCAGAGCAGCAAATTTGAATTGATGGGTCATTGCCCCCAGGTTCCAGCAGCTCCTTCAAACCTCTCCTAACACTTATTTTCAGGTTGCCAGAAATATTGTTAAATCTCCCAAGAGGGGTTTTACGGATTCATTTAGAGATTTTGGTTTGTGGTTGCATTTTATATTTTTACAATATATTTACTATCTTTGTCAGTTAAGAGTGCTACAACAAATTACCATAGACTGCGTGACTTGACCAGCTTTTTATTTCTCATGATTATGGAGGCCAGGAAATCCAAAACCAAGATGTCGGTAGATCCAATGTGTAGATAAAGGGCACTTCTGGGTTGCAGACAGCCAACTTCACAAGGAAAAATGAGGGAGAGTTAGCTCTCTGACCTTGCCTGTAATGACAATAATCACATTCATGAGGGCACCACCCTCAAGGCCCAGTTACCTCCCACAGACTCTCCTCCAAATACCAGCACATTGGAATTCAGGTTTCAATGCATGAAACAACC